GCTTTAAAACCTACTGTTATTAGGTCTCTGTTGCTATTTATGTTAGAAATATGTGCACGTGTGTCAAAACAATATATCAACTTTGCTGATTGGCTGCATCTAGATTCTGTTGCCAAGGGTAACAGAACAATTGCTTTTAATCTTTCCTAAATTGCTTCTTGTTTTTTTTTTTTAAAAAAATACTTGGGGTTTTCAGGGATTTTTGTTTTATTTTATTTTATTTACCCTAGAGCAAAAATAAAGAAATTTTATTTAGGGAGAAAACAAATACATACTTTCTGTAGGTGCTAAAAGGAAAATTCAATGCAAAAGGTGTAGTTGGTGTATATTGTCAGTTTGAATAGCCATCTATCATAAGTGCTGATTCCTAAGGCTGGGCTGATTAGGAAAAAAAACATCTTTACTTCCAAATGATGCAGCACATGGCCATTTGCCCTTCAAGTTAAAGGTCTTCTCTTTTTTGGTGAAAGCCCAACTTCATGCATTCTTCATTGAGGAGTAGCAATATATATGAAAGAAAATAATGTGTCTTCAAAACATTGTATCACCTTTCCTGCCTCATTAACAGAGCACAGCATGGTGAATAAATCCTATGAATCATGAATCCCAATTCCAGCCTTTGAATTTTTAAAAATTKATATACATACTCATAACTTCTTCTATATAATCATAACTTCTATGAATTATGTCTTTCTAGACATAATAGTCCACARTACCACCCAAGGCATCTTTGGCCCAATGAGAGAAGCCAGAAATATTCCCTTAGGAGATACTATGTCCCCTTACCTGTAAAATTAATAATTAATCAATTAATTTTTTTTAAATAACCTCAAATTTATTCTGCTCCATGGTGTCTTCCTTCAGTTTTACCACAATTTAACATTTTAAGATAATGCAAGTGTTCCTGGGAGGTATAACACATCAATCTACCACCTATCATCCTCCCTTGAAAAGTGGAAGTTTTGGTTTGAGGAGGGAGAAAGAGAAAATATGAGACAACTGCATACCTAATGTAATGGTCTGAATTGTGTTCCCCCAAAATTCAAATATTGAAATCCTAATCCCCAGAACCCAAGAATGGCACCTTATTTGAAAATAAGATCACTGCAGATGTAATTAGTTAAGATGAGGTCATTAGGATGGACCACAATCCAATTTAACTGATGTCTTCATAAAAAGGAGAAATTTAGAAAGAGATATGTCTGTGGGTTGTCACAAGGAGAACATCTTCTTTGGCCCAATGAGAGAAGCCTGAAGCAGATCCTTCCCTTACAGCTCCTCGAAGGAACCAAACCTGTCTGTACCTGGATTTTTKGACAAGTAACCTCCATACTTGTAAGGTAATCAATTTTAAAAAATTAATCAATTCCTGTTGTTTTAGCTACCCAGATTGTACTATAACTTTGTTCTAGCTGCTATAGGAAACTAATATACCTGAGAACAAGTCACCTGAGGAAGCATGTGGGTAAAGATGAGTGTTTCTAAATACAAACTTCTCCTATGTGTACTTGGTTCTATCTGAAGCTATCTTGCTTAATAGGATGAGATAAAATCAATATTCCCTATTAAATGTGCTCCTGTCATCCTAGAACTGGAGAGGTTTTTCATTGTCCAGAGGCAATTTCAAAATCAGAACTTCTATAAGTTACCCTTTTTTTAGAAGATGATTATAGTCCACAATACCACCCAAGGAATCAAGCTAAAATGTTGCTAGCCAGTGTTTTATATAAGAAATAAAATCCATTTTTAAAATTTGGTGAAGGAATGTATTTTGTAAAAGAGAAATAACCCCAAACATGAGTTGCAGGAACCAGATTCTCATGGCAGACATTTCATTTCGGCAAATGGTGAAATAAATCATTTGGACTTTTCCTAGGTAGCTCTACAGGAATCAAATTTCTTTGAAACTGTTGCTTGCATTGCCACGACTGTGTTCAATGTTGTCTCACCTCTGCTTCTACTCCCTTCCCAAAGACATCTGTTAGGGTACAACATTTGGCCCAGAGCTGATGTAATCTCCAAAGCCAAGCGCAGACTGCAACTCATCTACATGAACCTGCTCACAGAGGACTTTAGGAAARGTTTTTTGGAAAAGGGATTGAGTCATGAACTTAAAAAAACAAAAGAGAGTACAGAGTATGTCCAGAAATTTCACCAATGAAGTGACCAATGTGAAAAGCTAAAGGGAAAGTTCTTCTTGACTTAAGGCAAAACAGGCAAAAGAGCCACTGTCTGAGACTTTCAGTTACCTAAGAAAATGAAGAAAGCAGCAKCATCAGATCAACACGTAAAGAGTGACAATTAAATGTAATAACAATGTGTTCTTTAATTACGAGGGGAGGAAATGAATGAACTAAAGACCTGTTATCTGTTCAGTAGAGTTGTTAAAAAATGTCAAGCTTGGAAGAAAAAGAGAATTTGTCTCATAAAAAGAAGGAAGTGAGGAGGGTGAGAAAGATCCTGAAACATCTGTTCTATTTCACAACCTGAGCACTGTTCACAGCCTCTTTATTACAATCCCAGATGCAACTTGGGTGTGTGGGGCTCAGGGAAGTGAGTGGCTTCAGCATTTCACACATTCGCACCACCACCTTCCCACATGACACGAAGTCCCCCAGCAAGAACACGACAAAGCTTCCATTTTTATGCCCACTGCTGAAATGGGAACACATAAAAGGAATTTGCTTAACCCTTTCCCCCCACAGAATTAATCCCAACCAATCCAATAGGACAAGGCATTTTTACACACCCCCTCCCCAACTTTCAGCAATTACGTTAAAAAATGGAAACAAAAACAAAATCCAAAAGGAAAAGAAAAACTCCCAAACACCTGGAGACTCTTCCTTGAACAATCAATTTGATTTTGTTGCTCATTATGGCTTATTGTAGAATGAGATCTAAATTACATTCAGTTGAAACAAGAAGCCAGTTCCGTGCTTCCAGTTCTTTTGACTTTATTTCCTTTCCCTGCCTGTCGGTCTCGTTTCCTCCCTCTCCTTCTCTCTCCTTCATCTGTTCTCCCAATTTTCTTCCAGATTTTAAATTTACCCAAGTACCCCACATTAGGAAGGACATTTTACTCAGTCTCTAGTTTTGTTGCTAAGGGTTACCACATAGAGAACAACATGGCAGAGGGTTAGAAGGAGGGTCGAAATCGATGGAAGATACAGCCAGCAGCACAAAGCTCCCACAGTACTCAGCTAGAAGCACATATTTGATACAAGAATTGTCTAATATCCGTCCATCGATTTTAAGTTATTTTCCTCAGATTCATGTTTTACTATGGCTGCATAGACTTATGGGGAGGCTAGTGAAGATTCCAATGAACAAAGGTGGGAATCAGCTATTAAGGCAGTGAGCACAAGGTCACCAGAAGTCATGACACTGAATAGGGGCAGGTATGCAAGTGAGGAAGTGACATCAGGACCTGCTTGGTCAGGGAGATCCCAGAGGGTCTGATGGGCAGCACCGTGGTTCTTCCTCATTGGAGATGGAGGAGGAAAAGGAGGCAGAAAACAAAGTGAAGCTTTGCGATAGACTCAGAAGCATTTTCAAAATGAGAGTTGTGTTAAAATAGATTCAACCTAAATGTGACCTTCAGAAAAGGGAATCCAGGGCTTCCTGGAGCCACCTGCCCTGAGCCTAGAGATCAAAGGCTCAGACACTTTTCAGTCTGGTTTTCTTGACCTCTGCACCAAGGAATAGCACCACTTCTGCAGGGTGAAGAGGAGCCCCTGATGGAGGCAGATGAAGGCAGAATGTCCCAAATCCATCCACCTCCCTCTGCACCCCTCGCCCTGGAGGGCCTACAGCCAGATCACTTTCCTCATTAAATGCGCACATGTCTGTTAATATGTGACTCCCTGTGGGTGCTCGGTATATGCTGTTTGAGTAAGTGAACAAATGCACATCCCTCAGGACCATTATAATAACCCTTTCTCTGTTCTATTCTTCTCCCTTCTTTTGGCAAAAATCTAATACAAATTTCCTGGCCCTCTAGCCTCAGCCTAAGGGAAGATGAGCTGTCTTTCCAGTCTCCTTGCCAGTCCCTAGCAAACGCTTGGTTCAGCTCCTAGTTCCACTTTGGGGAACTCCCTAAGCTTTATGCTTCTTCACTGACAAAATGGGAATAGCAACTTCTAAGATTCTTTTGAGGGACAAAAGAAGTATATTTAAATTCTTAGAGCAGTGGTTAGAAGCACAATAATTACTCAGTAAATATAACTGCCCCCCCCATATGTTTGAACATTTATCCCTTTTACCATCTCTCCATCGTGAGAGATGACATATTAGAAAATTCAAGAAAAGGATATTAAGTATTTGACTCACCCATTTTACACTAGAACCTTTGGGGAAGAAAACAATAAAGCCAATTAAATTTATTAGTGCATTGAACATAAAACATCGTATTTTTATATAAATAGATTTGCTCAATTGGAGGAGAAAAAAACTTGTACCCAAACACAAAACCAATATTACAAAGACAGTAGCACCCACAAAGAGTTACTTACAGATGAATCTAGACACCACCGTTAAACCTTACACAAAATGGGTCATAGACCGAAGAGTAAAATACAAAACTATAACATTGCTGGAAGATAACTCAGGAGAAAATCTATGTGAGTTTAAATGTGGCAAAGAGTTTTTAGGTACACCCCCCCACACACCCACACACACACAAAACAATCAATGAAAGTGATACACTGGACTTTGTTAAAATTTAAAAACACCTGCTCTATGGAAGACATCATTAAAGTGATAAGCCAAGCCACAAACTGGGAGAAGATCTTTGCAAAACAGGTATCTGATAAAGGACTTGTATCCACTATCTAAAGAGTTCAGTTAAACCTTAACAAGAAAATAGCCCAATCAGGAGTGGGCAAAAGATCTGAACAAATACCTCACCAAAGATACATAGGTAGCAAATAAGTAAATGAAAAGATACCCAGCAAAATACACTGTTACAGGATTACAAATTAAAACAAGATACCCCTATATACCTTAGAACAGTGAAAATCCAAAACAGGGACAACACCGAATGCTGGAGAGGATGCAGAACCACGGGAGCTCTCAGTCATTGCCGTGTGATGCAAAATGGCACATCAACTTTTAAAGGGAGTTTGGAAGATCTGTAAAAGGTAAACATATAGTCACCATAGGATCCAGGAGTCAGGCTGCCTAGTATTCAATCAAGTGAGTTGGAGACATATCCACACAAAAAACCTGAGTGTAAATTTTATTTCACCTTTATTAATAACTGCTAAAAATTGGAAGAAAATGGATGTCCTCTAATAGTGAATGAATTAACAAATTGTGATACATTCATAGTATTAGGATATTATTCAGCAATAAAAATAAATGAGCTATCAAGCAATGAAATGCCATTGAGAAGTCTCACATGCATGTCACCAGGTGAAAAAAAAAAAAGTCATTCTGATTTCAACTATGTGGCATTATGGAAAGGGCAAGACTGTTGGGGAAAAAAAAAGAAAATCAGTGGTTGCCAGGGGTTGTGGGGAAGGAACRAGGGCTGAGCAGGCAGAGCACAGGGAGATTTTTAAAGCAATGAAACTGTTTTGTATGAAACTAAAATGATGGATACATGACATTATGCTTTTAGCAAAATCCATGGAACTATACAACACAAAGAATGAACCCCGGTGTAAAATGTGGACTTTAGTTAATAATAATATACCAGTAGGTTCATCACTCACAACAAATGCAGCACACTAAGATGTTAATAGTAGGATAGTAGGCAAAATAGGGGGAGGAGAAGAAAGAGTAGATGGGAACCCTCTGTACTTTCTGTTCAATTCTCTGTAAAACTAAAGCCGTATTTAAAAAATAAAATTTATTTTAAAGAGAGAGAGAGAGAGAGAGAGAGAGAAAACTAACTGGAGCCTATAAAGTCTCACTGTTTGCTTACTTTTGCAAAATTTTGATTCTAGATATAAAATATGGTTTGCAACACTTGGAGAGTGTCATGGCTAATTCAAGATTGTCACTCCATAAGTTGCCTAAAAGATAACCAGACAGCCAGACCACTCCCCATGTTATATTAGAACAAATGTCAATATAGGGAGTAAATGCAGAGGGCTAGTACAAACCCCAAAAAAGACATTCAGAAGTGGTAGAATGCTAGCTGAGTCAAAGAGGGAACAACAGGGGGCTGGGGTTTTGGCTCAGTGGTAGAGTGCTTGCCCAGCATGAGTGAGGCACTGGGTTTGATTCCCAGCACCACATAAAAATAAACAAGTAAGATAAAGATATTGTGTCCATCTACAATTAAAGAATATTTTTTAAAAAGAGGGAACAAGAGAGCGGGGAGTTGGGCCACACAGGGGTCTTTCTTGGGGAATTGAGATTCAGGTGAGGTCACTGCTGGACTTCTCTGCCTGGTAGAAGTCTTGGCCCACAGTGGCCAGTGGCTGTCCTGGCAGGGGTGGAGCCAGCCTGGCAAAGATTCACCCTGAGCTTCTCTGAACCCAAAGCCCTTGCACTTTCTTCTCCAGCCTCCTGTTCTCTCTCAACAAAGTTTCCTGTTTGGGAAACTGTCTTGAGTCCTCTGTGTTTCCTTTACACAAACCTCCAGGTATACAAGTGAGGCCTGCACCCCTCTGCACCTCCCCACTGGGTTTCTAATTTAGTACACATTTATTAAGCAATAACTTTTGCCAAGCACTTTGTTAAGTGTTGGAAATAAAGATTAGATTCAAGGATCTCACAGTCTAGTGACAGAGACGTGCTCTTTAGAGTGGAATGAGATAYTGAGTGCCATAAACAAAGGTAGGAAAAATTTCTTGGAACTACAATAGCCTAGTACTTTGAATACTACAAGGCATTATGAAACCATATTAAAAGTCTACATTGTCAGCTATTTAAAAATACTCCTTGATTTGCCATGCTTCACATGTAAAATTCCTTTTAATTCCTCTTCTTCATATTCTTTAGTTTTTTGCTTCTTCCTTAAGATCACTAACATGCCCTGGGCGTGATGGCCCACGTCTATAACTGGAGGTTTGGGAGGCTGAGGTAGGAGGACCACAAGTTCAAGGTCAGTCTTAGCAACTTAGCAAAGTCCTCAGCAATTTAGTGAGACCCTGTCTCAAAATTAAAAAAAAAAAAAAAATAAGAAGAGCTGGGGATGCGGCTCATTAGTAAAGCACCCCTGGTTTCAATTACCAGTACCAAAACAATCAAACAATAAATTTTAACTTGCCAATTTCCCAATTCCATCAAAACAATTAGGCCAATGTATATATGTTCATCTAACATACCCACTGTGATTCCAACTGTGGAAGGAAGGAAGGAAGGAAGGAAGGAAGGAAGGAAGGAAGGAAGGAAGGAAGGAAGGGAGGAAGGGAGGGAGGGAGCGGGGAAGTGGCTTTTCTGGAGGCATGGTGTCATGGGGCAGGAGGGTTAGCAACACACCCTCAAGGCCATATTTCAAAAGGAGGGTGGTGCCATCCAGAAGCCCAGGGCTTCCCAGGGGAAGCAGTAGGTGGAACTTAACGGTCAGGGACACCCTGGAGCAATGAGCCTGTGGCAGACAAGAGGGAGAATCAGGTGCTGACAGCTTCTGTCTTCCACATTGCCAAGGGCAGGCCATTAAACACTCTTGACTTGGCCTTAGTAATAGSCTATCACCCAGTGTCTCTAAAGCCCCTACTTCTCTATATTCCTTTCCAGCCACTGTGGAGATTCCCATTTTACAATCCAGTAATACCACAGGGGGCGAGTGTCACATCCACGTTCTGACTTCTGGTTTTCTGCCTCCACATGTGCTTCTCCTTACCTCCAGGAATCCCTGAACTTCCACTCAGGCTTCATCTGACCAGGTTCCTGTCTCCAGGAATCTTTCCCCAACCATCCTCATCTCCACAATCTCTTGGCATTGAACTAAATTATCTTCTCTTCTGGTCGCCACTGGACTGTGAGCAACTCAAAGTCAGGAGATTCTTGTCTTTCCTCCCTAATGCCAGCACAGTGCCCAGAACTGCCTCCTTCCTATTGTATAAATTTATGTGTACTTTTAGCATTTGGTTAAAAGTATAGACTTTGGAGCTGTCCTGCCTAGGTCTGAGTCCAGACTGTCATTTACAAGTCATTTACTCTGATTTCGGGGTAGGGGGTGCTGTACTTAATATTATAGTTCCTCAGTTTCCTCGGGTGTGAAATAAGGATAATAATACTTACCTTACAGGTTTTGTTGTGGAATTTGAGTAAGTAGAGAGATGATAGGTAGGTAGGTAGGTGGATAGATAGGGTGTTTGAATAATACCTGACACATTAAATGCTGGGTAAGTGTTAACTATCACCATCATCATCAATATCAGATTTGTAGTCCTCATAATAGGTTCTCTTTCCCCCCTCCCCCATAATAGGGTCTTGATTCCCTATAATACATTCCTCGAGGTTACCAAAATACACATTTACATTTGTGTGACTCCAGGGTTATTCAGATTGAATGGTGAACACTGACCCTTTGTGTTCCAACCTTCTGACACAGCTCTGATCCAGAGGGGTTCTGGTGATTTAAGTAAGCAGAAAAACTATTCGACAGTATCCTAGACAAAAACCATGAATTCTTCTCTCAAAGAATATTTATGATTAAAAAAAAACTAGCTATTTGTACAAGGGAAAAAATATACCAGGAAATAAAGACACAAAAGAGAGAAAAAGGAAATTGTGGTATTATTGGAAATGACCTTGGAAAGACAAGAAATGTTTCTTAAAAGGAGAATTAGTAAGATTTAATTTTATGAGATTGTGTTCAAAACGCTGAGTTTCTTTAGAAAGATACAGTTGTTAGGAAGAAAAGTGCTAAGGAAAAAGAAAACTTAGAAAAAAAAAAAAAGCTAGCCAGGGTTCTGCAAGAAACTCAAGCCAATATGTAGCTTGCATCTGCTGGCAATACCCTCATCAAAGAAGGAAATAAGATACAAAACTGAAATTGCTATTCAAAGAAACTTGATAAACAAAATAATCCATTCAATATAACAGATGTCTGTACAATAGTGTGTGCCATGACTAAAATATCTGACCCACCCACCTTCCCACTGGCAGTGCTACCAAACACAGCAATTTAAGCCAGGCAACCTGAAATGTGCACAGAAAAAAAAAAAATCAGGCTGTAACTATATAACTACAATGTCAGCAAAAATTCATTCCCGACGAAAAGAATGGAAATACTCAAAAGGCCCCATCTAAAATGTGTTATGCTATATTCTCACAGTCTATTCTTTTGCCATTTTTACCTTTAATTCATTCAATTAGTACAATAATTTTGACAAGGAAATGGAAGCAACGTTCAACCTAGTTAAACTCCAAAGATATTTGTTGCTTCTGCCGTATTCCTGGCCCTCTAGCAATTGTTGAAATACTAAGGGGAATGAAATAGGTCCCAGATCTTAAAGACTTTACACCTCAGTGATGTTTAGATCGAAGCACCACTTTGATTATATTTGAGTCTCTGCAAATCTGCAGTCACCAGATGAATGGCTCATGTTGATCTGTTTGATGGTATGGGTCAGAAAGAACTTTCTGGAACAGCATTAAGAATATGCATGTCACCTAGTTTAAGATCACGACGATGGGCTGGTTTAAAATATTGGRTATAAGGCAAGAGAAATTTTATTATTTTGCAACTCAGATCTGAWCAATAGAAAAGTTACTTATTTTTAATGCTTTCATGTACAAAACAGAATTGAACAATGGCTTTTATACTTGCTGTGCTTTTCATGGACACCGTGAATATTATCAGGGTGAAGCAATGTTGTACTTCAGGGGAAAAAAAAAAAAAAAAGACAAAACCTAATCCACAAATGAAAACTGTCAAAAAAATTAATCATCACATTTCCCTGTTGCCTAATTTCCTGATTAACTTCTGATGGGCCCCCGAGACAATGAATTAAAATGCTCYAACAAAAAAGACCTTAAAAGGAGGTGAATTTTCACTGCACCGTATTTCTGACAGCTTGTTCCTGAGCAAAGCAACTGGTGTCCCTGGGGACTCATTCAACATTCATTTGAATCATGGAGAAAGAGACCCAGTTTGGAAGATATTTTTCTGGAGTACAGAGGGGGACTTTGATCCTAGCTCAGATAACAGCTGCTCTCCCTGAG